TTTTTATACAAGCGAGGTGGCTGCACCCTCCTTTCTTCACCACCCCAGCTTAGTTTAACTGTTGTTTTACTTCCCCTTTTCAATCGTACAGCCTATTTTGGCAATCAGCTATATTTTTATTATTGTCTTGAAATTTTTTACTGCTGTTAAATTTTCTCGTGTTTTCTGAAATCAGCCTAACTGCTTGTTAAATTTTTGGATGTAACCTATTGTATGCGTACTTTCAGCTACCCTTCAACTTTCAAATTTAACCACCGGTTCAGTCAATTCTTCCAAGATGCTGGGGTTTCTCAATTCTATGAAATCTTGTATCTATGGCAGTAGTCAGGGCAAAATAATATGGATAATTTTGGTATCGGGCCTTTTCCCATACAGTAGATTAGTTATTTTCACATTCCTTAAAATAAATTCTCTTAATTCCTCAATTTTAAATTGACATTTGCCGTACAACTTTGCTTTGATTTTTGCTCTGTCTTTGACCACGGGGAATGCATTTTTGAAGGCATATTTGAAATTGACAAACGTATATGTGTGGCTGCCTATTTCACCCAGTAGAAATTTTCCAATCCCTTTAAACCAACGTACTGCCTGTCCTTGTAAGGCAGTCGCCGCTATTGTTATCTTTTGCACTTTCAGGACCTGGTACAACAAAAGTGGTTGTCCAGCTGCCAAGAAGTTTGTGACTGACATTCTTCTGTCGAATGTCAGGTTTTAACAGAGGCCTACATTTTGTCTACCAGGAAGCCAAACCTGGGGTTTGCGATGTGTTAATTGACATCAGTGAATGGGGCCAGCTCAAATGTTGCTTGACTTTCGGCCAGTAGTCTGGATATTTTCAGGCCTCACCTGTAAGATTTACTCTTTTTACTATTATGCAAGTGACTTGATCTTAGTAGGAAGCCTGGCGACGTTTCGCACACATGTGAAGAATGACAACACAAAAGAAGGGTGTAAATGACCCTTAATAAAAAGGCACATACTTTGTGCTCACACTAACACTGACTACTTGCAATGAGGAACTTAAGGATAACTTAACGATAAAGTCAAAATAGTAAATAGTAGTGCTAGACTACATAATTTACTTAAAGGCTAACAAGCTGACTCAATAACCTACACCGGTGATAAGACTTGAATAAATGGACAGAATGCATAGCCGCAACTAAGATTCACAGCTGGAGGACAGAATAGCAATGTGTGCTAACTAGCAAAATCATGCTCAGTCTAACCTTCTTGTTTCACTCTGTAAATACTCTCTTAACTTAATTCACATCCTGGTTAGGAAATGCAAGGGAAATAAGTTCGGAAAAATACCAGAATTAAAATAATTGGTTATTCAAACTAAGGAAAACCCTACAATTCAAGATCAGAAGAGCTTTCAGTAAACCACATTATCATATTTTCTTTTTCATATAAATATTAAAAATTCTTGGTCACTGAATATTCTTTCATCATGAAACATGTTATACATGTGTAAACTTTTTTTTTTCCCTTTTTTATGTTGTTGTGACTTAATCTCACTTGTCTGAAGTATTACCAAAACAAACCCACAAAATTCACTGTGGCAAGGAGTGCAAGATTGCGCCTGTCGTTGGTGAGAGTCTTGAGCATCATATGAGTGACAGTATGACTCCCAATTTTGAAAGAGAGCACCCCGGGGTGGGACTGGTGCAAGGGTCTCCCACTCCTCTTCCTCTACCATTTTTTAAAGTGTTTCATTTGACAAGAAATGAAAAGGATGCTATATCTTGCTTCCAAGAAGGTACCTTACATTTGAATATGCAAAAGTACAACTTGGAGGTGCAACGTGAAGAATTCCAAATAAAAGAAAAGCAAAATATTTTACTTCTGGTTCATAGATTTCAAAATACTGTATGCTCATCGAGTTATTTATTGTTGGGAAGAGGAACTGACGTCAATTAACTGGTGCAAGAAGTAACTCAGCCTTTACGAAAATACAACTATTGACTGGAACAGTTATGCTCCTGGTTAAATAAACAATGAGAAGTGTATTTTCTATATCTAATCTTACAATCAAATGAGTAAATATGTGTCCTAAATAAGTTATGGACATAAATAGAAGTCTGTTTTCATGGTTAAAAAAAATTATGCCAGTTTTATGCCCAGCTAGGTTCTTCTACAGTACTGAATATTTGGTGAGTTATATCAGGAATTCTTTCTCACTCAGATTCTGACTAGGGAAGACATCACATTCATGATAAAATTCTTTGACCATAAACAAGGGAGGTTATAAAGCAGAGGAACTTGAAAAAGCAGATTAGAGACATTTTGCTGTGAAACATAAATTTCATTTAGTTTATTCAGCTACAGCTGCCATACACAAAATGCTGAAAAACTGTAGCATTTTGCTAAATGGCAGCATAAGAGTAAGCAATGCAGAGTTTGTCATCATCATGAGGTTACATTGCAGAGTTCATGTGGCAAAAGTCCTTAGGATGACAAAATGCTTCTGGTGGCTTGTGAAAAGTAATCACAGGGACATGGTAAGTGCAAAGTGTATGCGAGAAGTAAATATGAACTTGATGATAATCCTGCTACCAATTTGGTTTTTTGAAAAAATGGAGTCATAATAGAGAAGAGCCTAAAATTTAGTTTCATTATTACTCATTTCAGTAACTTTTGAATAATAATTTAGTTAGGTTGCTATTTTTAAAATTCTTCTTAACTATTAAAAACATTAAAAAACAAGCTATGTTTTAATAAATAATATTAGGAGCTATTTATAAGCTATTATTTTTCATCATCATGAGAAAAGTCATGTGAAGGCTTGAAAATTATGGTTTGTATCAGTTAAAACAGTTGATATTAAGAAAAACTATATAAAATGTTTTGAAATTTTTATAAGTATTAGAAGTTAAGTTTTTTGGTGGAAATAATATCTTCATTTTCAGAAACTATTTCTTCAATTACAGTAACTTTGATAGTCTGTATCAAATTTCTATTTTTGTCAGTATAACTTTCTCATTCATTGCATTCTTTAATCCACTGATTTTCTATTTCATTTCTTTCTTCACTTCACTGGATTTTTTCTCAACATCAATGATTGTTACAGTATTAGATTTCTGAGTGGTGGCTCACCTTTTGCTGGTTGTGATGATATATGTAATCAATTTCTGTTGAGCTTTCATGCTTTTGATAACTGAAATTCAAAAAGATCTGGTTTCTAATAATAATAATTTTTGTGTTCCAGAATATTTGCACTTAATCTTTTGAATAAATACAGTCCATGAAAAAATGTGATGGAAATTTAAATTGTATCAAATCTTTTAATGAATACAGTCTGTACAGTTGTTAAATGAAAGTAAAATATAGCTCTGTTATACTGAGTATGCCACATAAGTTACTCTATCAACTAGAGACAATTTTTTGTAAATTTTTTCTTAATATACAGAAATGCTAAAGATAAAAGCAGTTGAAATTAGATGATGTAGAACATGTGAAGCTGTAATTTCTCTAAATTTCTTTTCTTGAGCTAAGGCAAGAGACTGTAGTTCACCAACTTCACCAACCATTCACCAGTAGTAACAAGTCTTACATTTGAGATTTTCTTGCTTTCAGAATTCCATTTGCTTCCATTTAGCAAATGGAATTTTGAACTCCCCTGCCCCATATTACCATTCTCACTGGCTGTAGATATACAGAATTGAAATTTCAAGAAACTTCCCTTAGTCACAAATTTGGCAATATCCCACCAAATGTTGTTCATTGACTTGTAGATAAATATGTTGCTGAGTATAGCAAATTTTAAAATATGATATCTTCAGTTCTGCATGGAAGTATGTGTAGGTTGTGAATGATTCAGTTTATAACGTATATATTAAAACATGATAAGCTACCCAACCGGGATAGTGGTTAGTGACTCTGCAATACCAAAGGGCCCGAGTACAAATCCTGCAGAAAGCTATTTGTAAATGTATAGTGTCTGCACGACATGAAGACATTCTAAATATGTGGTGAGCCGTAAGTCCTCTCAAAAGGTTGAAGAGGTATGGGAGGCTTTCGGACCCATCCTCCCAGGGTGCTCTCTTTCTCAAAATTGGAAGTAGAACTAAGTTAAAGCTGTGCTGTCACCTGTATGGTGCTCAAGACTCTTGCCAATGACAGGCACATTCAACTGCTTCCCATGAAGAATGCTGTGGGCTTCTGCTGACCATTGTCAGACAAATGAGATTGGTAACAACAATAACAAAGTATGATCAGTCAGTCATACATGTAGATGAATGGCAATTATATTCAAGTTTGTAACAACATGATATGTGAAACAAATATACTTACATTTTTAATAACCCAATATAAAAAATAGTAAAATTTACAATAATGTAAATTAAAATCTTACCCTGATTCACAACCACATTAATATTTATGTATGCAACAATATTAAAACTTTAAAAGCACAATTATGAATCAATTAATTTATTACTAATTGGATGATTTATTTTATTAATGTGACTGTTTCCCTGTCACAAAATAGTGACAGGAAAAAAGTCTGATAGGACAAATACTGATACAAACAATAAATGCATTTCACCTTTGATCTTTGGATTTAATTTTAATTAATGTTTTGTTAATACCTAACTATTAGCATAAGGTCTGGTTTATAATTGTCATAACCTCTTCATGAATATTATTATCAAAAATATGGTGGCCCATGAAAAGCCAAGTCGTAAGACCACTGAGCACTTGTAATTTAACCCAGGTCCAGACCCTAGCAAACAAGCTGGATGCATTGAAGTTTTCATTTTCTCTGTGTATAATGGGAAAATGACACAGTTTTCCTTAGACAGTCCTCCACAAAGGCATTCCATCCATTAGACAAATATACGTCATGAGCTTTACCATAATTTAATCCAACTCCATAACATGGTGCATACTGCTTTTTTTAATCTAAAGTTATTAATTTGGTGAAGTTTGCATTGAAATTACAAAAATACCATAATTTTGCCAATCATTTCATTACATATTTTAAATGTAATTTATCTTAGCTCTGCAAGTTATGGTGATGCAACCAGTCCAAGTGGATGCCAGAAATGTAACTGTAATGGCCATGGTGATAAGGAACTGGGATACTGCAATTCTACTACAGGTTTATGTTTTTGTTTGGATAATACAATTGGTCCTAAATGTGAAAAATGCAAAGATGGTCACTATGGAAACCCAAGGTAAATAACAGTGTTAGTCTTTAGAAAAAGTGTTTCATCAAATATTTTAATCTTTCATTTTATGTAATTAATTTTATTAAATAATTTGTCTAGCATGCAATGCAATATAGAATTATGATTTCTGTATATACCAGTATAGCGAACTTGATTTATAATGAGCAAAATTTTGTGTTCCATCCTGTTTCCCATACACTTACCCCTCATTTATGGAGGTTTAAATTTTGGAAAATATACATGTGATTAATATATATTAGTTAAAAAAATATAAGAAACACGAATTTAAAAACCAAAAATTAATTTCTCAACCTGTTTGATAGCTGAACACTTCACATGCAAAGCAACATCACATTTTTCATACCAAAAAGTGGTGTTCTTATGACATTGGGCACAGTGTGTTTGTTTTGACCGTTTTATTATCAAATGATTCATTCCATCATAGCATGAATCAATATTGTATTTTTCAGAAGGTCTTCATTTTTGTTCCAGTTTCACAGGATGGCCATGAGTCTCCAAATAATGGTATGTCACTCATAGATGAAACTCCAGGAAAAATCTTTGACTTCTCCTCATGTGCTTTATACTGTTGCCAAGCATTTTATAAGACCAGTTCAAAACAGAACAAAAGTGGACTTAAGTACTATGGATTGATACTTATTAGTGTTTTCATCAGCTCTGCCCATGCCTTCCATAAATTGATTATACAGTTTTATCAAGTTTGGCTGCTGGACTTGAATCTTCTTTTTCTGTTTCTGAGAATAATGATTGACAGGGGCTCCAGATGATGCAACTGTTAGAACACTGTTGGTATGCCATCTGCAAATGATAGTGCTTTTTCTATCAGTTAGATAATCATATTTGCCTCTTTTTTTCTTCTATAGAACACCATCTGATTCTAGTGGACACTTATCAATATGATCTTTTCACACCATAACCTCTTGCCTGATGACCTGTTGAACTGAGCTTGTTGAGCAGTGAATTACTAGTGAAAATGTTAGTTCAGGTTTCTGAATCCAGTCCCGATAACAGATCAGTTCCCATTTTAAGAACTTAAAGCATTTTTGTTTATGAGATAAATATAGAATTTTTTATATGCATTTTTTAGGGGGAAAGGTCACTTTTATTGTGTTAAAACTTCAAAATTTTTATATTTAAGGTTTGTGTACTTTTTTTGCTGTTAATGTTTGAATTTCTGCAAAAGTTTTTGTACTGCTCTAACTTATGTATTTTTACATTAAATATAGGAATGGTGGTGAATGTTTTGAAGAATGTCATCCTAGAAAAGTGATCACAAATGCATTTAAAGGGAAATTTGGTAGTCCATCATTTTCTTACCCTTCACAAGATTGTCTTTGGCTTTTAACTGTCCACTCTGTCATCGACATGAAATCACTCTTAGGTCCCATGCAAAGGTAATATGTGTATGATGTGTGTTGAGGTGTGGAAAATAAAATTTATCTGTAATTTGTAAAAATGCTTTGTCTTCTTTTTAATTTGATCATTCTTCTTTTCTCTTTTAAAAATAATAAAATGCTTGTAATAAATCTTTCTGAGGTATGTCATTCCAGAATTATATCATATGGTTCTCACATAATGCAGTTCAAGCACATATTTAATAGCAAAAGTGAAAGTAAAATTTTTGTCCAATAGTATTCAAACCAAAACTTTAATTAACTTATAGTAAAAAAGCAATATTGTGTGCTTCACTGAAAAATTAAGCAATCCCACTATTTCGTAATCTGCTACAACTATATAATCTTTCTTTTAATGCTTCTTTTTGACAAGAAATGCTGCATAAGTTTTAAATAATTTAATAGTGAGTTTACTCGTTTTAATGCTTTAAATTACTTCATTATGAACAGATATATTATTCTATAAATTATACTTAAATAAAGTTTAACTACAGAACTTCATGATTGCCTGTCATTGAAAAGAAAATCATGAACTTGCTTACCTCTTCAATATCACCACCCTAAATTTATATCATATATATAGATAGATAGATAGATTATTTTAAAAATTAAGTATAAAATTGTTACAATGGTACAGTGGCTTAGAGAATTTATTAATCAAAATTAAATATATGAAAAACAAAATTCAAAATAGAATAAAGTTGTAGTGCACATTAAAAAAAAAAAGGTGTATGTTGAAGAAAGTAGTAAAGATCTTTTGTGCTATGAAAACTGTCTTGCACATCTAAATTTGCTTCAAAACTTCTGTTAATTTTACTGTTGATTCCATTTCTGGAGAAATATAGGATGGGTCATAAAATTTTCTACCTCATTGTGAAAAACTTAATAATTGGAAGAACTTTTCTGATATTTAAAGGAAAAGTTTCAACCATCAAAAAATCAGTTTTTTTAAATTTATTCTTAAAAAATACATTATACTTTTATGATAAATTTAAAGCAAATCCTTTCAGACTCGGATGCAAATTAAGCTTAGAGTGGAGGGGGGTAGGCTACTCCCCCCTTTTTTTATTTGTTTGTGTGTGTATGTGTGTAATACATTGCCAGCCATTTATTGGAATGTTTTGGCAAAGAAATAAATTCTCTAATTTACTAAATTGATTAAACAAGTTTTCTTTATTTCCAGCAGGTACAGTTTGTTGTTTGCATTCAGAATTGCATCAAAGAAATTATTATTGTCTGTGGGTTTTATATACCTCCATAAGAAATCTGTTAAATAGATAGCAAGTGACTTCCTTTAAACCAGTTACGGAGCTGAACTAATTCTTTAGTTACCAATTGCCTTCAAATTTTTGTAGGCTATGCCAATTCATATATTAAAGAGCCAATCACATTTTCATTTTATATATGCTTTGTTAAAGTATATGAAAATTGAATTTTCTTGAACATATGAATTTTGTATTTATATCAAATCTTTAGTGCATAAAAATCGTAAATGTGCAATTTTTCATAATTGTAAAGTTTTATCCTGATTAAAGTTTCTGTGTGAACTGTAAGCATTTACATTGAATAGCTTTCAAACGTTTTTATTTAAAAATTCATATAATGAACGATAACAGTGAGTAAACTTTTACTCTTCTGCTTCTTGCCCCCCCCCCTCTTTTTTAGCATTGTCTCTTGGTCTGATGGCAATGTTTAGCCATTTTAAAGAATTAGGTTTTAGACTTTTGTAAAAGTAAAGATCATTTTCAAATTAGCTGTCATTTCAGAAACATTTAAAATGTTGTTTCATTAAGTTTAAATGTGTGATGCCTACAGCTGTTTAGCAAATTTTGTTTCTTTTCTTGCAGGTGAAGAAGATATTTATCATCTTTGAATAAATAATAATCTGGAATAAATATTAGGACATGTCTGAAACTATCCAAAATTGATATTAGAATCCAAAATTGTCTGTGCCTTAAGAAAGATTGAATTTTTTTCTCTAAAGCAAAAAGCTGATTTGTGTAATTTTACTCTGAAAGTTTTGATCATTTTGAAATCATTTTAATAAAGCCTTTATAACATTCTAATTTATCACAGACTTAAGCACAGTTAATTAACCATATTCTTAGTAAAATGCTCTATGTGTTTTATATTTGTTTATAACTTTTTGGAAAAACTGTATAGAATGTTTTATGGGTAATAAAAATTCAAGCTTTATATGTGACATTATTTTAATGCAAAAGAAGTATGGAGCATACCATGTGATAGTAGACATGTGATTAATAATTTTTTATGTAACTAGTTTCTAGTAAAATGACATTTTGTTGCATGTTACTCCATATTTGTTATTAAATATCTGTAATCTCATAAATTGTTTAATAGTAAGATTAAACAAATAACATTAAAAAAACAAAAGTTACTCTAGAATATTTCCGATGAGCTTTGTTCTGAACTATACTCTGAAAATAAAAATCTAGTAAAATGACATTTTGTTGCATATTACTCCATATTTGTTATTAAATGTCTGTAATCTCATAAAATGTTTAATAGTAAGGTTAAACTAATAACATTAAAAAAAACAAAAGTTACTCTAGAATATTGGCAATGAGCTTTGTTATGATGTGTACTCTGAAAATAAAAATGTCCTGATAATAATCTGTTCTTCAGTCACATTAAAAAATTAATTTTGAGAATTGATTTGTCAGAAATAAGGTACAGATGTTTTTCCTATAAATTGTTATAAAAGCTTGCGTTAAAAAAATCTTGGTTTTGGCAGAAATTCTAGATAACTAAATTCAAAATATTGAGATCTGCCTGTGACCAGTATGTTTTCCTTCATAAAAATTATGTTTCAGTTTTGATTAAAAATTAGGTTATTAAGATATGCATATGAAGAAATTGTTTTATTGCTTTAAAATTTTATGTCAGATTTGATTAAGGATTAAGTATATTTGAATACAAAGAAATACACAAGGGCCATCTGCCTAAGAGGAAGAATGCCGTAGTAAAGGATTTTCTAAGGGAAACTAACTTGTCTTCACATTACACATGAAAAAATTTGGAGAAAATCATGAAAACCAACCATACAACAAGCCTGTTCACCTGGTTCACCAAACCCAAAATTCCCCAACATTCAGTGGTCTGAGCCACTTGGCCACTAGTGGCACTAGATTTGATGAAAAATGCATTCTCACCCAAAATTTTATTTTGAGTCTTTTTTCCCTTAGAATGTACACAATTCTTTTATATTTAATGCATTATAATTATCAGTGATAATTATATATTATGATATTTTATAAATTTCATTTCTCTTCTCCTAGATATGTTATCAGATTATGATTATAAGTTAAGTTTGGAGAAAAAAGTCTTCATATTCAAATATTTGCTTTCCAATTTCAGCACAGGAAGTTTTCTGCAAGTAACCATATATAAAGACATAAATGTACCTTGTCCACACAATCACATATATGTGTATGATGGTCTTCCTAATTTTGTGGCATCTGGACACCCAAATATTCTTCTTGGTGCATATTGTGGCTCTAATCTAAGTGAGCCTATCATAGCTACTGCATCCTCTGGCTATCTTACCATCCATTTCAAACGAGATAAATTAGCCCATGGGTTCAATGCTTCATATGCTAGAGTTCACAAAAATATCACATCTTCCAGTCAAGAACTTTGTAACAGTACTTTGTCGGTTTCTGCAAATGGCACATCTTGCATATCTGCCAGCTGCCCTAATAATTGTTCCAGCTCAAATCAAGGAAAATGTGTTAAGGTAAGTTATTTTATAAAGGTAAAAATTATATAATTGATCTGTACATATTCCTCTGCTGTATATTCTGTAATTATGAACTGATGTCTGATACTGTGTATACATATTGTTGTGTGTGTATGGGTTAATAATAGACTGAATGCACACAGAACCTATGCTAGCTCAATAAAATTTATTTTACTAAAAGGAATGCTTTATAGTTCTGGAACATGCCACAGAAATACTCATACAGCTCCTCTCAGTATCCCAGAGCACATTTAGAAGTTACATTTTGAACTACTAAGAACATTAAGCATAGTGCAAAACAAAATGCATCTAAAGAGCGGAGCTCATACGGACTTATCTCAGTGCTGTGTAGTCGACTTTGAACTGAGGACTGATGCTCTCTTTGGGCTTATATAGTTTTACCCTAGCAGCGAGAAATCTCTGGTACCTTCCATTTCTTGAAATTACTAGGAAACATATACATTTAAAGTTACATATAAAGGTGGGGTACAGTTACACATATGGATTAATTGCAGTACCAATTATAATTTTACATGCACTGGACCAAAATGTTGCTAAATAATGGTAAGTTTGTGACTTTGGGCCAAATTTGACGACAAAAATTAGTTGCCAAAACCATAACCAGCTTGGTGATATCTTGCCAATTTAGCAACTTAATGTTAAATAGACTTGCGCAAAGCTTCGCCTTTTTCAGACTTTTCATGTTACATTATACAAAATTTGTGACAATATATTTTTTCACATGGCTATCAAAATTGTAATTAATATTCATAAATTGTGCTTTAACATGTTTTGGATTTAGTGAGCTGAGAATTTATTATTTCTACAGAAGATTTCCAAATTTATTTTCATTTTTTGTAGTCTTATTAGATTATTAATACTGTATTAAATGTGCTAAAGTATTTTCTTACCTAACTAAATGTTTTAATGTAAGTCTTGTATCATGAATAAATACATGTCGTATAACAAATTTCTTATAAATCTGCAGCAGATGTCTTTCAATGCTAAACAAATGGAAAGCACTTAAAACTGTAAACAAATTTTCATTTTCAAAAGTATATTCAGGAATAATCAGATAGTCTCTCCTCATAATTCTCATAATTATTAAAGTTGAAAATTCAAAGGGTGTTTTTTTTTTTTTTTTTTAAGAAAACAGCCAAATTTTACTATTGTTACTTGTATATATGATGCCAAATACATAATTAATTTTTTGCAGATGTATGGTATATGTGTTTGTACAAATGGCTTTGGAGGAAATGACTGTTCAATTAAGTCATCAGTGCATCATTTAGTATGGTCTACCATGTACATCTACCAACAAACTATTCGAAATGATTCAATCATCCATTTGCCTTCAGGAAGGATAGGGCATTCTTTAATAGCATTGAAAGATGTGCACTCTGAACATCTGTTGCTCTTTGGAGGATATTCTTCAAATTTTGGATGTTTAAATGATCTTTTTATTTATAACACATCTAGCCACTTATGGATGGAAGTGAGTATATTTATGTTTATTACATATTTGTTTAATTTTAATGTGTTTTTAAGTACGTTTGTTTTTACAGCTAAGGTTTTTCCTTTTTCAATTAGTGTGATCTTTTTCTAACAAATGTTTTTCTTCTCATTCTGTCCTTAAATTGTTATTTCATCAAATTTAACAGTCAGTGCATTGGAATTATCTTAATGCTTCATAATATAATAATTAAAGATATGTCTGCATTACTGTTTATTCTAATTAATTATATTAAAAATGAATTCATATCATAGTATTATAATGTATTATGGATTTATTAAGATTTCCTTAAATAAGAAAGCAAAATGAGTGGTAAAAATTTGAAATTTTATGCATGATTGATGTGAATAACAAAAATTTATGGTGAAAATAAACAGCTAAAAGTAACATAGAAAAATATAGAAATGAGCTGAAATTCTCCTTGACATATGTAGAATATCATGGGTCAGAAATCATTCAAAGTGTAAAATAGTAAATACTGAGTAGTCAGGTCAGTAGCACAACAGTTTAATGCATTCTCAACTGAACTGTGGCTTTCAACAGTATCTGATTCATACCATTAGCTAAGAGGGGAAGAGTACTTCTGGAAATTTGTAGTCTTTTCTAGAGCCTGAAAAATGTATTTTTCTAGGAATTTCCCAAATGTTGCCAAAGACTTTAAGGGGTTTGTGTCTATATCCTTAGTTTTCTTGAGCTGTCTTTATAAGTCCAATGCCATTTAACTCTTAAATAATATAGGAATTAAATACATGTAAATAAAATAAATGGTCACAAATTCTAGATTAACAAAGTACATAATAAATAAAGTTATCACGCAGATTGTGTTAAATTAATAAACTGACGAGCTTACATACAACAATACTTAAAAATATATGAATGTATATAAATAATACATATAAAGAAATGTAACTTAAAAAATGTATATAAATAACCAATCTTATTTGTATAAATTATAGCATTATCTTCCCTACTCAAAATGAGAACACTTTCGATGTAAATGAATATGAGGTATGGGTGCTGGATCTTGTCTCTCATTCATGAAATGAATGCATCTATTTTTGCTTTTGTTCTAATATATTAAAAAAATTTAAGATTATTCTGTATTGTAATTAAAATATGATTTTCAGATAAGAAAAATGTTTTGATCATATATATGTATATGTTTATATGTTACTTTCCTTCTAACATGTTAAAAAAATTCTTGGCGGCATTTTTTTTCCATCATGGTTAAAATATTTTTCTTATCTGAAAATCTGTAAAATATATTTCACATTCTTTTCATAGAATAAAAGATTTATTTAGATATATTCAGAATCAGTAGTATGCAATTCATTATTAATTTTTTAATTAGTATTCATGTGTAAAGTTTAGTCATTTAACATTTCTATAGGTAATTTTACAATTCTAAATCAAATAGTATCATTTAATATATTTTATATATGTAGAATCAGCCATATTATTAGACTCTGAAGGAAAATTTCCAAAATTATTAGATTTAATGTAATTTAATTTTTATTAAATATAAGTATTTCAACATAATAGCAGTAATTTAATGCTTTATATGGAAAATATCTTTATAATAGAATCATATTTGAATAAAGCTGCAGATGCTTTCTACTGTACTCCATGCTAATTTTTTGCTTTATTTTTATTTTATAATCGATCGCAAATTGTCAATTAGAATTTTATCTCGACTGTCCTGATCAAGGCAATATTTTTACTTTAATTTATAGGCAAAAGAATTAGAAGTATTTATCTCTTTGCGGCATAGCATATTATTATGCATGATTATTATGCATAATATATTGTTATGTGTGCACCTTTCCTTTCCCCCCCTTCCAGAATACCATTCTTATATTTGATGCTAAAATTGTTTTCTTAAATCAATATAATTTAATTTAATTATTTCTGCAATATATAATCTACTTGAAATGCTTTACAAAGTGTGCTAAATATACTCTAGCTTTAAAGGCATCTTCTTGTCATCTATAAACACATTAGACTATTTTTTCATTAATATAGAAGGTCAGTTCATAACTTAAACATCCTTAAAATTTGTTAATCATATTTTTTGAATTTTTACCATGAAATATGTAAGTATGTGAAATATTTAAGTATTTTGAAAATTAAGATTTTAAATGCAATTGAAAATAAAGGCAACAAAATGAAATTGAATAGTATTCATTCATGCATAGTAAAATGTCAGAGGATGTTTTACTTACTTTATCCCAGTCTTTAAGATTTTCAACCTAAATATATCTTTTAGTTGTAGCAAATTAATTTTAGCCATGTTTCTTGGCCAGCAAACTTTTAAATATGTTATTAAACGGTTTTTTTCTATATTCCAGCTTATATTTCAAAGTCCATGAAAGTTAATTATTTTTTTTAATTTCTTGAAAATATTTTTCAGTTTTGTAAGCCAATTTTTATCAGTTTTCTTTACATTCATCTTGTGCCACCCAGATGGTATAGCGGTTAAGGAAGCCTATTACGGTACCGTAGAGCCTTTGTTCAAATTTTGGAGAAGGCATGGATGCATGGAAATGCGTAGTGTTTGTGTGGCATGGGAGCACTCTAAATAGGCAGCTAGCCAAAAGAGACCCGTGGATCTATACCCCTCAGCAGAGTTGCCAACTCTCCCGATTTAGGCGGGAGACTCCCGATTTTCGACCGCTCTCCCGCCAACCCGATTTACAATATATTTCTCCCGACTTTTTCTTATTCTTAATATTTCTCACGATTTTTATGGAACTTGGCTTAATACTTCGTTATATGAACAAAAAAAAATGTGATTTTGGACGTCTGAAAGCTGAATTTTCTCTTGATTATATCTAAAATGAAACCTTGCGAATCAGATGAGAATTTCTGCTTTGTGATTGACAGCATACGTATCCAGAAACGTCGTTCTCCAGTTCTCCAATGGGCATCGAGCTCCACTGCATGTCATCTGGCATATATTAGCCAATGAGCATAAAGCAAGCTCAAGGCCATTGCAAAGAAAATTCTTTGGCCGTTGGGCCGTTATTTCGATGTTCTATTCGTTATTTCGTTCATTTTGTCCTGAGTTGTGTGAGTACATGTGCTTTTAGGAAATAGTTTTAGAAATTATCGTCTTTTGATATGTCTGCGAGAAAGGTGAAATACTCGTGCACGTTTCAAAAATCATACACAGTTGACTTTCCTTCCATTATTTCTTCAAGGAAGTGTAATAAATTTGCGATGTGTACCATCTGTCGTTGCGATTTTTTCGATTTCGCTTGGTGGAAGGGCAGATGTTCTCAAACATGTGCGTACACATAAACACAAGGACAACATGAGTTATTTTGAAAAAACGAAAAATTAAATTTTTCTTCGGAAACAAAAGACCAAAAAGTGATTAATGCAGAATGTCTGTTCTCTGCCTTTTTACTGGAGCACAACCTGCCACTGAATGCATCGGATCACGCTGTAGCTTTATTTAGAAAAATGTTTCCCGATAGTGAAATCGCTAAGAAATACTCAAGTGCAAGGACCAAAACAGGTGCAATTGTTAAAGAAATGGATTTGAAAAATAAATCTTCAGTTATTGATTGCATTAAAACAGCTCCGTTCTGCCTCTCTACGGATGGAAGCAATAATACCAATTCAAAACTGTATCCAATTGTTGTTTCTTTTTTTAATACAGAGTCTTCAGAAATTGAGTGCAGTTTACTTTCTGTCCCCACTTTAGAAGGACATTTGACAGGCTTTAATATAGCACAGCTAATTATTAAAATTTAAAAGAAAATGCAGTCCCTCTCAATAATTGCTTAGCAGTTGGTGCCGATAATGCACCAGTAATGGTAGGCTTGATGACTGGTGTTGCAGGCATTTTAAGAAAGGCAAATTCAGATTTGCAGATTATGAGGTGCACCTGTCACCTCTTAAATTTAGCAGCTGAAAAAAGGGCAGCTTCTTTACCATTAAATGTGGATGAACACATTGTTGATATTTATTATTATCTTGAAAGGAGTTCTAAAAGAAAGGAAAAATTGAAACAGTTCCAACAGCTGCATAATACTGAAATGAGAAAAATTTTGAAACATGTGTGTACACGCTGGTTGTCTTTAAAGAAATGCTTATCTAGAATCCTCGATCAATGGAACCCACTTCTTGCATTTTTTAAAGAAGAAGTAAATGCTTCGAGAGTTAAGATAAAAGGCTCTATTGAAAGTTATAAGTACCTTATAACTTTCAATAGAGCTTAAAGTAAATGAAGTTGTAGTTACTACTTCCATTGTTAAAAATGGGTTTGAGAAAAATAAAGTAATTTCTGCATCATTCAGCAATTCAACTGGCAGTTCTCAAAATAATACTGCAAAATATAAGCGTAAAGCTGATACAAATTTCTCTCAAAATAAAAAAAAATTGCTCAACACACGAAACATTTTCCGATTACTGTAAGTTTATCTTGTGAAGAACGAATATTTATGTTTTTTTCTTCGGACCTTAACAAAGCTTTTTGCTTTTTTTTACAATTCATTTTGTCAGCATTCGATGTTCTGAACACAATTCTACAAAGCAGAATTCCATTAATTCATGTTTTGCAATCAATGATTTATGATCTGTTTAAAGACATTTTATCAAAGTTTGTAAAACCAGTCTGTGTTTTGTCTTGTAATTCTATATATGATGTGATTTATGGTGAAACAGAAAATTGGAAGAAAGATGAAGATTTGGTAATAGGAGCTGCAACTACAAAAGTAGTGGAAGAACTTTCAGAAGAAAACAAAAGTAAGTTTTATCTTCATGTTAGAAGTTACTTCTGTCGAGTATGTGATTACACACTACATAAATTTCCAGTCAACGATGAAGTGATTTTGCATGCTAAAGTTGCTGATATTTCTGCTCTAGCAAATGCATCTTTTTCTGATATAAGGTACTTTTTGAACAGATTTCCTGTGTTACTTCGTTTAGTCATGAAAGATGATGATATTGATGTTGCTACTGATATACTTCAGTCA